GACTTCCTCTCTGAGGATCATCTCACAGTGAATCTGAGGGAACTCTCAGCTCATGGTGGTTCTGAACTCCTGCGTTTGGTGAGTTTGTCAGACGGCGTCAAAAAATCAGTGTCGTCTGGAGGAGGTCCACTGGTTCCTCCTGGTTCTGCTGCCTGACACCAGAACCATCTGGAGATGAGAGCAGCTGATATGAAGATGATGTGAGAGAGCAGGAGAGAAGCTCCAGATGGAACCATGAAGACCCTGAACTACCCGCTCCTGGTTTACTGGTCTGGATTAGACCCTGAACCACCCGGTCCTGGTTCACTGGTCTAGATGAGACACTGAACCACCCAGTCCTGGTTCACTGGTCTGGATTAGACCCTGAACCACCTGGTCCTGGTTTACTGGTTCAGTTTAGACCCTGAACCACCCGGTCCTGATTAACTGGTTNGCTTGCTATGTTTTGGAGATTATAGGTAAAAGTATCTCACATTGTAAAGCTTGAAATATGAAGAATTTATTTTTTTTTAAATTTCATTTATTTACTTTTGTACTGTATCCAAAAACAATGTTGACAGCTTGATGTGATGTGGAGATTATATGTATGAGTATCTGGCATTGTAAAGCTTTAAATATGAAAAAAATATTTTATTAAAAAAAAACTGTTAAAGCTGCAGCACTGAAACATGACGGACAGTTTTGGCACAGGGTGGAGCTTCATGGATCTAGAACTGGTAGAGGTAGCGCCACCATGTGGTGGGACGTGACCCTGCAAAGAGAGGAAACTGTTTTGGCTGAACTCTGTAGATGTTTCATCGCTGTGTCTCCACACGGAAAGCCTTTAAATTCAGCTCAACTGGTAAACAGCTTGTTAGAAAGTCTTACATTTTTGACATTTACGGTTAATGGATCATCATGGATCTCACCTCATGGATCTGGACCCGGCAGTGATAGCGCCACCATGTGGCGACATGATCCAGCGACCATGGTTTAGGTGATATCTCAGTAAGTCCCCCCTTTTCATCATAGACATTTTTTTCTTACATTTGTTTCTTTTTTTGTTTGACATGCTTTAAACTTTATTGTCCACATGTTTCATCCCCTCGACACCAGACTTAGTTGGACCACAGCTGGATCAGAACAAACTCTGTCCGGAGGTTTGGTTTCATGCATTAGTGCTTCACGATTGTGTAACAAACTTTAGTGGGCGTGGCCAAATCCATCCAATCTGCTGAAAGCTTTTTCCATCTGGGGTCACATGTTTCCCTAAAGCTCCAAATCAGACTGACATGTTTTTGGTGCAGTTTGGCCATGAGGGGGCGCTATAATAATTACCAGAAGTAGCTGCTGCTCCTCCACACTGAAGGCTGAAAATAGCTTAACTTTTCAAATGTTCAGCTTCTAAACAAACAGCTACAACTTTTGAACAATCCTTCGATTTAAAGCACATTTCTACCTTTTTGTCTCTTCGGCGTCAGCAGGTCCGTTTGGCGCCTTCAGCTTTATTCTGAGATGTTTTCTAGGTTTAATGTTCTCCAGTGTGGAAACAGCAGACCGCTTTATCTCACGTAACACATGAGCTCATCTTCTGACCTGAAAATCTCTCTGCGTCACACATTCACATGAAAACTGGTTCATAAAAACATGTGAAACACTGAAATGAAGACTCTGTGAGGTTCTGACAGTTCAAACTTTATTAGCACTTCGTCTGTGTACAATCAGTGACTCTGTGCTCGCCCTTCAGTTCCTCAGTAAACGATGGACTGTATGTACATGTTAATGTAAAATCAGCAGCAGTTTAATGTTTCTGCAGAGCGTTAAAGGTCACATGACAGCGACGCTGGCAGGGGCCTGCTGGAAGAGTTCAAGTTTTATCACTACGGCAATCAGAGGAAGAAGAGACAGACAGCCAATCAGGAGCAGACGGAAAACAAACAGGAGGTTCAGATGCATTTAGTTGGTTGTTGTCATGGCAACAGTATTCCACTGTGGAGGCGTGGCTCTGTGAAAACATGAAAACACTCAGAATTACTTCCACATGCTTCTGATGTCACGAATAGAAATTATTATTTATGTGTGACAAGATTTAATAATATTCATAACAAATTTAAATTCTGATTAATTGATATAATGAATAATATTGTGGGAGCTTAACCTGAACATTTAAATTCAGGAAAATATACATATTAAATGATATTGTATGGTCATATTGTTAATATTGAAATTAGTCAGGTGATTTTATTTATTAAATTTAATTGCAAGGGCTTAACATTATTATTTTAATTATTCAGGTTAATTTACATAATGAATAATGTTGTTTTAGGGTCCTAACCTTAATATATAACTGAGTAAATCTACATAATTAATAATATTACTCTAACTCCAGGGAAATGTACACATTCAATTACACTGTAGACTCTTAATGTTAATATTGAAGTTAGTTGGGTGTATTTATGTAATATATAAGATTCCAATTAGGTACATTTATATAACAAATAAAATTGCAGAGTGCTAACCTTAATATTTCATTAGTTAGGCATATTTATATTCTATATAATATTTAAATTGGACAGGTGTCTTTATATAACAAATAATATTTAACAGTGATATATATATATATAAAAGGGTTGACTGGGTTGTGATGGTAAACATTGGCTCTGTGTCTGTTTTCAATGATCTGCGTAAATTAGGACAATAACAACTGAAGTCTGGACGGATGCTGTTTGTCTCCAGCAGCGGTGGTCAGATGATACCTGAAGTCTTTGAGCTTCCACAGTTCAGAGGCTCGGCGTCTAATTCGAAGCTACAAGAAGAAAACAGATTTAAACAGAGTCTGAAATCAACAGTAAAGTGAAGGAGATGCTCCGAATCTGTCTGTCAGAGCTTTGATGTGATTGGCTGTTGAGCTTTACCCAGTGGGGTGTCATCAGTCTGCTCCGCTTGGTCAGACATCATCACTGCGACAGAAGACAAACCCAAAGTATTAGTTTTGACTGCTGAGCTTTAAAATCATGATCTCACATCTGAACCTCCAGATTATCAGAGCTTTTAAACGTTTCTCTGACAGATGACTCTAAAATTCTTCATCTGAATCTTCATCTTTCAACTTGAACTCATCTTTATACCAACCTCGAGTGAACTTCTTCAGTTCTTCACTCTATGATTTCTTCTGTGTGTCTCTTAGTGGTTGTGTTTCTATAGATGTTGATGTGTGTGTTGTGTCAGTCATCAGTTTGGTGAGTGTGTTTACCTTCAGTGGAGTCTTCAGGCTCTAGACTCGGCTCCTCTGCCTCCTCCTCCAGCTTGTCCTCCTCTTCATTGGTGGCTTCGACCGCTGCATTGTCTTCCTCATCGAGACTGTCATCAGCTTCATCATCTTGGATTTCTTCCACTTCATCTTGCTCCTCAGATTCCACACTCTTCTCCTCGGACTCGCCTCCATCCTCACGGTCAGCTGGATCTCCATTGCCATCTGTGCTTTCATCATCAGCTGTCACTTCCTCCTCCTCTGATTCCTCACCCTCCTCATCTGCCTCACCCTCCTGAGCGTCCTCACCCTCGTCTTCCCCCTTAGCGTCCTCACCCTCGTCTTCCCCCTTAGCGTCCTCACCCTCGTCTTCCCCCTTAGCGTCCTCACCCTCGTCACTCTCCTCACCCTCGTCACCCTCACCCTCCTCACTCCCTTCACTCCCCTCACCCTCCTCAGTCATCTCTTTCTCCTCTTTGACTGGACCCTTCATCTTGTCCTCTTCTGTCTCCTTCTCTGCGTCACCTTTATTGCTGCTCTGATCCTCTTCCTCACTGTTTTCAGTCATCTCATCTGCACTGTTGTTACCATCAATGTCGCCGTTGCTATTGCCTTCGCTATTGGCGTCGGCGCCGCTGTCGGCGTCGCTATCGGCGTCGGCGTCGCTGTCGGCGTCGCTATCGGCGTCGGCGCCGCTGTCGGCGTCGCTATCGGCGTCGGCGTCGCTATCGGCATTGGCGTCGGCGTCGCTGTCGGCATTGGCGTCGGCGTCGCTGTCGGCGTCGCTATCGGCGTCGCTGTCGGCGTCGCTGTCGGCGTCGTCGTCGCTATCGGCGTCGCTATCGGCGTCGCTATCGGCGGCGGCGTCGCTATCGGCATTGGCGTCGGCGTCGCTGTCGGCGTCACTATCGGCGTCGCTGTCGGCGTCGTCGTCGCTATCGGCGTCGCTATCGGCGGCGGCGTCGCTATCGGCGGCGGCGTCGCTGTCGCCGTTGCCGTTGCCGTTACCGTCGCCGTCGCCGTTGCCGTCGCCGTCGCCGTTGCCGTTGCCGTTGCCGTCGCTGTTGCCACCTTCAGTGTTGCTCTTATCTTCGGTGCCGTCGGTCTTGCCGTCGCTCTTGCCGTCGCTCTTGCCGTCGCTCTTGCCGTCACCGCCTTCATTGTTGCTGTGGTCAACACCATTACTGGCGTCTTCAGCGGCTGTGGATTAAAGATGTCGCCTCATTAATCCATCTGTGGTGTGTCTCAATGTAAACAAAGCAGCAGGCAGAAGCTGACACTCATTCACGGATTTCACTTTGTAGGACAAAGTGGACGACGGATTTCTCTGGTGAACAGGAAGAAGAAGCAACACCTCCAACATCTCCAGCATGTCTGTCTGACACATCACTACTCAGAACAAATACCAAGATACACAAAACAGTGACAAAGACACAGAAAAACCCAGAGACACAAACTGAACAGAGAATCAGAACCAAATACCAAGAGATGTACAATGAACAGAAGTAGATGCTGATTCAATGCATCCCTTTGGACACACAAATCAACTGCTGGATACAACATGACTGCAAAGAGACACCAAACAACCACAAACAAATGCAAACTAATACAAAATAACACAAATCACACACACAAAATGACCAGAAAGACATTAAAACTGACTAAATAAGACGCAAAATGAAGAAAATTATATGTAAAGTCGATGCACACAGAGACAAAATGACCACAAAGTGACTCAAAACAAACACAAAACCACATACAAATAAACACAAACAGAAGAAGAGTCGGTGCAAACACTTCAACACCCAAACTAATGAAAGACGTGCAGAACGAACACAAATGGCCAGAAAGACACAAAATGACAGAAAGAGAATCAAAGTGATGCCAAATCAACACAGACAGGAGACACAGCGACAACAGAGGCCACAAACCAGCAACACAGACACACAAAGAGCAGAAAGAGACGACAACTGAGCTCAGAGAACCAGTCGAGTCCAAACGAACTGATGTGAAAGAAGCCGTGTGTGCTTCTGGACCCATCAGACACACAAAGTCTTTGTCTCACCGTCCTTCCTGCTGCTGCTGTCTGTCTCCGGGGGGGAGTCCTCTGGACCAGCTGAACAAATGACACAGTTGGGAATCAAACTATGCAAATGGACATTTGCAGACAGGAAACGTCAGGTTGATTTGGTTGCCATGGAGACAAACAAATGTGTGTAGTGTGTATTGTGTGTGTACAGAACTTGTCTATATGAAGGTAGCACATGAACACACAGAACGAGGACAAGAGCAGGAATGTGGATTTGTTTTCATTTAGACTTCAAAGTTACAGATATTTTAAATGAAAAATGAAATTTAACCATTAAACCGGACTTTTGATCTGAAGTGGCTGAAACACAGCGACGTGAACCAGGACCGACCCGTACCCGGAGCTGCAGGCAGGAGGGAGTCCTGCACCTTTAAAACCAGTCATTCTACCAGCAGGTCTCTGCACCAGCAAGCAGGACCCGGGAACAGAAAGCCATTCTACCACGAATCAGAGCGACGGCTGGAGAGCAGCCCAAGCACGACTGATCAGGGCCGTCCTCCCAGACCAGGACTGTCCTCTAGACCAGGACCGTCCTCCTAGACCAGGACTGTCCTCCCAGACCAGGACTGTCCTCCTAGACCAGGGCCGTCCTCCTAGACCAGGACTGTCCTCCCAGACCAGGACTGTCCTCCTAGACCAGGGCCGTCCTCCTAGACCAGGGCTGTCCTCCCAGACCAGGACTGTCCTCCTAGACCAGGGCCGTCCTCCTAGACCAGGGCTG